TTGTATTAATAATTATAACAAACTAGTGGAGTAATTTCACAAAAAAAAAAAATAATTGAATATCAATTCAATAAAAATTTAATTAAGATAATCTTTATTTCGGTAAGCAAATTACGCTTCAAATCGTCCCGTTGATTAAACTCTACTACTCATTTGTAAGGCAGATTTCTTTGAGAATAATGAATACGAAACTCTAGGGATTGCTCTTTGCAAATAAACATTTGTGCATATTTATCATTACCAACATAAGACCGAGACAACCTGAAAGAGCACGAGATCCGTAGACTGGACTGCCACATAGAGGCTTTGATTCCCGGGCCGGGAGAAATATTTGTATGGCCTACATATATTTCTCATGTAACTTTGGGTGTAATTTATGGATGTCTATGTGTGCGTCTATGGCACCTGCGATACTGGGTTTCCCTAATGCGAGGTTATAAAAAAAATCTTTGCTTGTCGACCTCGATGGACCTTTGTGCTCTGGATGAAGACGTTCGAAATGAACTTTTCAAAATTGGTTCTGGTATGTGTGGTGCTCCAGAGTTCCCTCATTTAAGACCAGGTAATTGGTGTGGTTGTCTGGCACAATAAAGCAAACAATCTAAGAGTTGTATTCTAGAACTCTATTCAATGCTCAAGTCAGGATTGCACTGGCAACACAAGCACTGGAAATACGGCCCTAATGGCAGGGACTTGAGTATGATTTCGAGTGCTTTAAACCATACTCAAATTCTGACTTGAGTATTGCAGTGAGCACTGAAAATCATACTCAAGTCCTTGCCATTAGGGTCGTATTTCCAGTGCTTGAAATCATACTCAAGTCTGCTCAAATCCTGACTTGAGCATTGAGTAGAGTTCTGGAATACGACCCTAAGAAAGATTTACTTACAGGGGCCTTATTCACTATCGTGTATGACCTCGTCCTTCGTTGGGCGTTAACTATGTTTATTAAGGAATTATTCTTCCGGACTGTTTAGATAATAAACAATTTCACTTCTAGCTATAATGAAATGTTGTCCAAAATTGGCCAGGGATACCAAAAACTGTATTGCATGATACATGTTGCTTGTGCATGTTATGTAATAGACGGCATCATACACGAGGGTAAATAAGGCCCGTATTATAGACCAAACTTTTGTAAACGCTTTCAGGCACTGCAGCTGGCAAGGCAGCTGATGGCCCAAGAAGAGGACGAAGATGACGACGAAGAAGATGCCAAGAAGACGTCCAAATGACTGATGTCGCTCTCTATATAGACTGCTCCTCGCTGACCACAATGGGACACGTGTCGACTTACCCAAACTTTCGGAAATAAAAAAAAAAATTAAAGAAAAAATCTTTGCAATTTTCAAGATTCTGGCATGTAATATTTTAATACCATTTTTATTCACTATAGTATTAGATTAGTAACCGCAGTTACTTATCATATTATTTTTGTGGCAGAGTTAAAATAGCTTTTATGCGCCCTAATTCTAATAGTAAATATTGAAATATGTTGACAAAATTTTAAAGCAATTTTTGATAATGGGTAATACACACAGAATGTAAGTCCTTTAAACTTAATGTGTCTTGTAAGTCTATATATATAATGAGAGTATTATCATCAGCAAAGCGAAACTTAGACAGGATTAATGGAACATTTATACTGCTTGGGGGAAACTTTCACCATGAATGTGCTGCATCATATCATGGAAATGTAGGCCATCGACACACTCATATCTATGTGCTATAGTATACGTATATACGGGCAAAGAAATACTCGTACAGACGGCAGCATATTAAGCTACACATTGACGGATGTTATTCCGTTACTCTGGAAGAGATATTCAAACAAAAGTGTATAGTTTGATGTGTTGTTGACTGTACATAGATATGATATCGCATCCTCAATAATGAAGTGGCATAATTCGAAAAGTAATTTTTGGGAACGTATGTGGCGAAGGCGAATAATTGAATTATGATAACAACGTTCGTATGAGCTAGGGATCTCGTATACCAGAACGTTTAATCGAAATAAAAATATAATTGAAGTAATTCTTTTTCAAATTAAACTTTCTGATGTATGTGGCCAGTGGCAGTGGTTCATACGAACATTGTTATATATTCCTATGAACCACTTGTTATATTCATCCTTTTTATCGTTCCTCTAAATATGTCCAGAAGTGTATTAGTTTCATTTCCTACTTTTTTTTGCCGATTTCCCAAAAATTTGACTTTTAGAATGACATCACCTAATTATACAGGGTGCTATATCGACTCATCCGTAGAACAAAGATCTATGTGCAAGACTACTTGTTCTCAGGACCACAGTACATTTCGTTCGTTCTTCGTCGCTGTGGATGTCAGATTGACTATTGTTCGATTTTATATTTTCGAAACGAAATAAGATATATAAATTCTCAAAATACCCTTACTTAGGTCTAAGTTTGAATAACGAAATTATTCTCGTAACGTACTTATCCTCTTTTCGCTATATAACCACATCGGACTCTGTTCTTCGGATGAGTCGATATGTATGTGTAAAATTCAAACGTGAGTAACGTAAAAAACCCGGCAAGGTTAAATTCTAAAAAATTGGATACATTCGTTGAGCACAATACCAATAATGTTATGGTTTTATTAAAGGGAAATTTGTATGCATATTCTAGATTTAGCATTCTTTCCGAAATTGACAGTGACAGAGTTTTTGCTTAGATGTTTATCATGACTAGGCTATGGTATAATGTCCATATAAAAAAAATATTTTTCCTTTTTTCCTCCTTTTATTTTTTCTTTTTCCACATTTTCTATTTGAAAAATTTCCGTCATTTGAACATTTTCGGACAATTACCCAACACTAACTATAACAGAAAAATATTTTTTTTAAAGTCGCTAACAATGTAACTGTTATGTAAGTAATTATGTTTGTTTTCTAAATTGGGTCCAAAGTAACAACGTTTAATCGTTCTGTAATGCTCTCTTGAAATAACTTGTTAGCGGGTACATTATCGACGTTTATCTAATAATGATAAATAAATATAATAACGATTGCCCGATTTAGATAAAGTACTTAATAGCCTTATACGCTATAACGCTATTAATCTTTGTAATAGTTCTTATAAAAATGTATAATATAGTTTGCTTCCATAAATCAGCAGTAGGCGATTCTGTCTGGTATATTTTTCAATCTTATTTTGAATTGATAGCTTGTCGTGACTCCTCATAGCTATTTTTAGGGTCTGCCAACACTAAACTTGTTTCTTTAGTTCATTTTCAGCACTAGCGCTTTCAGTTTTTTATGAAGGTACTACGTTTACACACTAAGTCTTGGTTGTCCTCCTGGCGATGACAAAGCTGTATTTAAATTCGTTTATAGGTTGAATTTGTGTCCGACAGAATTGGTACTTTCTATGTCTTATTAATTTTAACATTTTATAGAACGCTTGTCCCAATGCGGCCAAACGATGGTATAAGGCTGTTACTTAGTAATGCCATAGGCATTTTGTGATCCTGAATTTGGCTGTATTATAACTAACTGTATTGTAAACGTAAGTGCTAATTGGTTACAAAAATAGTTTATGAAGGTTGTACCAAAGTGTTCTTTATGCGGTAGAAATTAGATTATAGGATTTGTAGTTAAGCAAGATATTAAATCAATGACGTCATGATTTTGTTAATAAATTGAATTAGAGGTCAGTGTTAGTTCTGATTATTATTAAAATTTATTTAATTTTCTCATAAACTTATATCACGTCTCTTTCGTACACAATCTCAATTTTATTTAGAACAGAAATGCTTTGGCCGCAAAATGTATTCCCTTAAATTATGACGTCATTAGCTTTTTAATTTCTAAGCTTGTGGAAAAGTAAACGAAACCTTCACAAAATATTTTCGGTAAGTACCATAATAAATTGCAAAATGTCTATGTTAAAATTTAGGTTTATGAGTAATTTCGCAGCTCGTAATAACAGCTTTGTTGCGTGATGTTTTAAGTCGACAAATTAACGTAGACTGCAAGCATTAAGGAAGGTGATCGTTACTTATGACTTACCCATCTCGCATTATGGTTTTGTTTGCATAACGGTACCCACTTTGTTGTAGATGTTCTTAGCATCCCGCGCCATACCTAATGGATTGGGGTTGGATACATTATGGATTGGGGTTGGATACATAATGGATTGGGGTTGGATACATAATGGATTGGGGTTAGATATTTTATGGATTGGCGTAGGATACTTAATGGATTTGAGTTGGATTTAATATTCGTGTCCCCCTTCTATTGTTTGCAGTTTGACCGTTAGTGTAATTTATTTAAAAGTATGCTTAAGTTTATTTAAATCAAGTCTTCTTTTCCTAGTCTGGATTTCAATCTTATAAGCTTGGGGCCGTCCATAATTTTTTGGGTGGAGATAAGAGGAAGTGGATAGAAGGGTGTTTAAGAACCATATACATTATATCGCCTATCTATCACCTATGTTGAGTGCTCTTTTCAATTCCTTCACGTTGAGATTGAAATGTTCACTCGTCTACGCACCATGCAAGTTTCGATTCTTAAATTAATTCGAAGTGTTCAATAATTTTGTAAAAATGGAATTACTTATAGAAACGCTTTACGTTAAATATTGTCGTGTAAATTGTAAATACAGAGCTTTTGATGTCTATATAGAACATTGATTAAAATAAGTTGTTCTCGACAGTTCCTCTAAATTCCATAGATCGTTGGTTCAGATCCGGCTCGAAAGATCAATATTAGGGTCCTTGTGGAAAGTGTAATAAAAGCGTTTTTTGACTTTGTAGTTCTTATAGTAGTAACCCGATTTATTGGATTGTTAAAGGAACTGGCGAGAACATTGAAATATCGTTTCGTGTTATTTGTATAAAGGAATATCTTAAAAAAAAAAATACTTTAAACGATGCATAATATTTTTTGCCGTGATTATTATTCAAAATCATTTGACAAATTATCAGAGTAATATATACAAAATAAATTCAATTTCATATTAATGCGACAGTCTCTGTTAATTTCTCAATTGATTTCCGTATCCTTTGTTAATAATTTTCCATAGCAAATTAAATAAGTTCGCTGCAAAGAACTTAAATCGACAGTGGCCAATTTTTTTTAATATAGAGATGTTTATAAACGTCGATTTCGTGGGTTTTGTATAAATTAGTATAGACAGGATTTATTGTGCATTTAATTATAACTAGGGTCAGAGCTTGTAAATTACGTGGATGAATAACGCTCCATTGCGGCATAAATAAATACATTGTAAGCGCCATTTTGTTATTAGGGTGTTACCATACTTATTATATTAATTGCTTTTTTTCGCTCTTACATGGACATAAAGGTTTTTCTGACCGCGTTAATGCGATCCCGTGTCGATAAGTGTGATAGCATTATTTAAAGTCGCTTCTCCGTGTTTCAGTCTGCAGTTTTTCTTATAGTTCACGAATATGATTGCTACAAAGCAATCCAGCACAATAATATAATAATATTTCGTCGTACACGGAAGATGGGCGCTTTAAATCCGTGCAGGCAAGTTGCAGCTTTTCAAGCATTCTTCATTTCTAATGCATTTGTTATGAACGTGAATTAAGCGCTTAAAAACGATTTGATCATTGTATTTATTACAAAGAATAACCATGGTAGGGTCATCGAGTATCGATGGGTAGGGTCAAATCCTATTTTCAGTAAAATTAAAATAAAATGACATTTTATACGATAACGTCCTCTCCGTTACAAATGGAGAGCAGACAAATGAAAAAAAAAAATCAGTAGTGATGGCCCGTGGTCCACCCAGATGGACATACGTGACCTAAGGGAAGAAATAATTTCCCGTGGTCCACCCGGGTGGACCAGAGAGGCGGTCCACGGGCAATAAAAGGGACGTGTTGACAAATGTTATTAAAATATGTTTTGACCCTTAATTGTCAAGGCGGATGTTTTTAGGCAGTAGTTTAGAAACAATGTATATAAGAGTGCAAAGCAATATAAAAGTTGTGTAATTTGTTTACTCGTTGGCCTTATTCGAAATAAAGTTGGGGTGGTTCAATCGTAGACTGTACAGACAATGGCTTGACCTAAAATCGTACATAATGTGTATATAGCTAAATAAAGTTATGAACTTTTTAACGAGTTTTATTTCTAATTCCTCGCAGTAAACAACAGCGAACTCTGTGTATACTACTGGTAAATACAAGAAAAGTATTTTTTTCGCTCTATAGAAAAAAAATGTTGAATAAATAATTTTTAACTAGAGGAGTTACAAGATCAATGAAAACTCAAAAGCTCTTTGTCATTGTTGGTTGGTGGGCGGTGGCCGCAGAACACTATACTCATAAGGAGGCGATGGCGTACATTATGTGTCGTATTCCAGAACTCTACTCAATGCTCAAGGATTTGAGCAGACTTGAGTATGATTTCAAGCACTGGAAATACGACTCTAATGGCAAGGACTTGAGTATGATTTTCAGTGCTCACTGCAATACTCAAGTTCCGACTTGAGTATTGAGTAGAGTTCTGGAATACGATCCTAAACGAATAAAGTAAGGCGGTGATTAAACGAATAGAAGGTGATCTGTTACTTTCAAATAATGTGAGCCAAGGCCATCGAACATATAATTAATTGTGCTCGATCCTACTATATCTTTCTAATTTGTGTGCTCGACGGCCAAGCGCTATGAGGGAAGAAGATCTTTTGTTTGTAAGAAAAATAGTTGAATTATATTTACAATGTTTTTTTTTCTATTTATGTTGATATAACCAAGGTGTATTTTTTCACATAAATTATTTTTTGGAAGATTCATTTCCTAATATTTTTCCATCCTATAGGATTTCCTCCTTTAACTTTTTTTCCATTCTAAGATTTCCTCTGACCATGAAACACTAAAAGCGAATGACATTTTCGTTCCATTTTACATTTATAATATTTAAGAAAAAAATGTTCTTTTAACGTAATTTCTCATATAACATTCTACAAAGTGTTGTGGGATTTGAGACTTTTCTTCTGTATTTTAAATAAGCGACCCTCTTAATGTAGGAAACCCAATAGCAAGATTCGTATTGTTACAATTTATGAAGTGCGTGACAGGTGAGACAATCGATTGACAAATCATGAAACGAAACGTTTAAATTAATGGCGTTTGTATTTTGTTTGAAAAAGAAAACGTCGTCTTGACAACGAATATTATTGAATTTTGAATGAATTATTGGATTGATATTACTATGAATTTGTTAAATTATGGATGATCCCCACGAACAACCTCCACAACTATTTGATATTCAGGTATGTTTGATGAGTCTAGTTTCACGATCTGTCGATTGTTGAGCGATCAAAACGAAGATATTTTTAATCGTCTCTATGACGAAAATAGGATAGAAATGTATACCCGCGGCACTTCACCTGGGCCAGGAACAGTGACCTACTATCGTATTGATCGTAACTTGCACGTAGATTACGAAATTTCATTCAAAACTTGAGACAATAGGTATCGTTAGCGTAAAACTTTCACTAGATTTATTTATATTTCTGTTTATTTTTAGCACGTTCTTCCGGATGTAGTGCATTCCCAACAGATTCCCGTCACAGAGACCGTTGTAGCGGACGAAGCGGAAACACCACAAATTGATACGGGTCGATGCACTGAACGCAATAATCCGTCCACTCAGAATGTCGAGAACATCAGTGAAACCGAGTCCATATCAGAACACATTCCTTCAAACTCTATCACAGAATCTGACTATGTGGCTAGAACCAGCCAATCTCAAGAGTTACTCAATGTGGAAGCCCACCAAGAGAAAATTTTAAAACACAGCTCTCTGAACATTCCCTATACTCACTCTCCACTAAGCGACAATGCCAGTGTACATGACCCTAGCAGACAGAGTGCGTCCTGGCCTATGGACATTCTTGCTGATGATGTACACCCTCTCAGTGAGGAGAGTCCTGTCAACCTGGCCTTATCATCAGATTTTTCCAAGGAATTATCAAAGGAATGCGGAGACTCCAATAAACAACAGACAGAATCAGCACCGACACCACAACTTAGTGAGGAAGATGCTCCAAAAGAATCTCCTAGAAGTGATCAATATCTCGACTCTTTAAATGAGGAGTCCAGTCACAAATCCAACATTTCAATTGGTGATGACAATTCAGTTGACAAATCTTCACATTCTGACAAATCTTTACATTCTGACAAATCTTCACATTCTGACAAATCTTCACATTCTGACAAATCTTCAGGGTCTGAAGAGATAATAAAGCTTGATATAAGGGGACAAGCTGCTCCTAAATTCCCCTTCCCTGCTGCTCAAATAATCTTTGGTCCACCTCCAGAAGGAAGTGATGTTATTAGTCCTGATGTAGAAACTATTCCAGTTTTTCCAAATCTTCTTTCACCATTTTTAGTAGGTGCTGGGGACAATAGGATTAAAGTGGAAGAAGTTTTTGATGACGCAGTTATGCTATCTAAGAATCCATCATTAGAACGTCTTCCAGAACTGACTCTTTTAAAGGAGCCTTCTCCAGATCAGTCGGAGTCATCAGATAAACAAAGTTTGTCTAGTGATAAAGCTGAACAAGACATGTTAGTAGAAGAAATGGAAGTATATGTAGCGGATTATGACACAAAGGCTAACGAAGCAGAAAAAAACGAGAATGCATCAATACCAACACAGCTTAAGTCTATGGCTCCAGATGAGACAACTTCTTTTAGTACATTAACCACAGACTATAGGACTATTTGTGAAGAGTATAATGAAAAGGTATTACTTGTTATTGAAAAGTTGTGTTACTGCATGTGGCTGCTTTGCGCTGTGATCTTACTTTGTATATTAATGCTGTTACTAATGCCCTTAGCGTGCTATGTGTTTAAGTTCTATAGGATGCACTTTTTGGTTTATGAAAAGGTCTCAAAATATTTTGCTGTCCTCTCGGTTTACTAGATTTTAGATCATTATAAATATTTTTGTGCATATATGAATGATTTTGTTTTATTTTTTGTATTTGTTGTGTTGTAATGTTAATAGAGCATTATGTTGTGATTTTCTGTTGTACATTTGCTTGATGAAAAATCTTCTTTCAAAATCTCGCATAAAGTTTTTTTATTCTCAAAAACATTGTCTATGAACCACTTGAAAAAACTCTCTGCTTATCATTTGTATGTCAGTGTCACAAAAATAAACAAACACTTTGTTATCTTCTTCTTTCTGCTTATTTTAAAATTTATTCAGTGAAACAATGTTTGCTGCGCATGTAAGTAACACAAGCGTTCATACGACTTTCGCTTGCCGCTTTCCATGTTGTTCATGTTATGCTTTGTTTACAGCTTGTGCACTTGGAAGATGCGCTCACGCAACGTGACGAATTAATCGAAGAACTCACCGTCTCATTGCAGCGATCAGCCAAAGAACGGGATGAACTGAGGGTGGAAAATGTCCACTTAACTAATGAAGTACACAACCTGCAACACATTGTTGCAGAACACTCCCATTCTGATCATGGTACTGTTAAAGGACAACTCTCAGACTTTATAAAGTACGAGACTATGCTCAAAGATGATAGTACCAAATTCTATTCTGCAGTAATGAGTGGTGGGTCATCATTAAAAAGTTCGAACGGCGAAAGAGACAATGATTGCGAAGAAATAACAATAAATTATTCACGGTCAGATTTAAAGTCTTCATCATCAGACGATTTTCAGACTGGTTTTGAAAATAAAATAGGAACAATCATTAGTAAATTCGATGAGTATATTGAGGAGAATTTGAGGAATAAATTGAGAGAGAGCATCATACAGGTTTTATGCACCGAAATTGGTAAGATGAGGATTGAATTCGACACCGATATAAAGGAGCTTGAAGCACAAGTGCAGCAGGATAAACACGCATATACAATAGAAACTAGACGGCTCCGGGAGCTCTTGACTTCTGTAAAATCTGGAAATGCTGATATTGAAGCTTTGCGAGAGGAGTTGAACATTAAACATGAAAAAGAAATGGAGAATCTGCGGATGTATTTTGAAAAGAAATGTTCAGATATGGAGCGGAGGTAAGTTGTTAGTTGAGATGGTTTTTGCATAATTGTTAATTTACTAATCCAAGTTGTTTTATTCATGCTGTCTAAAGGCAGAAGCGATGGTAAGTGTGACAAGTTGAACTTAGAACTTAAGTGTACATTTCATCATTATCAACCCGACATACGTCCCACTGACGTGCATATGTCTCCTGTGATGCGAAGTTTTAGGCAATAATCCGCCACGTTCATGCTTCATCGTTAGTGAGAGATATAGCCACATTGAGTAGTATATAACCAGAAATAGAGACGAAATGTCATTTAATTTGTGACAACTGCGCTCCGATTAGCTAGCACGAGTTCGAAACAATTGACGGGTGTCGTCAACTGTTTCACTTCAAATCGACCAGTTAACTTGAGCTTTGCTATAATGGACGAAAATTGCAAAATTACATATTTAATGATGAAATTTGATTCCATTTGTCTTGTATTTAGATGTTTTGCTGTTTTCCCCCACACCACCGAATGGAACAGCATGCAATGGCATGCTAGAGATATTTTCTGTATTACAATAAATACAGAATATTTTTGGAGTACACACAGGTCAGTTGTTGGCGCTGTCTATATTTCAGTGCAAACAAGATTTGATTTTTATAAGTGATGTATCACTTATAAATTTATGGCCATAAATAAAATAATTAATGGCCCTTATTTCGTTTCTATTTCTGGTGATTTGTTTGATGTATAGCCACTAGATATTCACAACGTAACTTAGTCATTAAAAAAATTAAATAAAAAAAAAGTCAGGTATATGCCGCCACAGGGATTGGAACCAGTAGTAAAAGATAAAATTGTAAACTTTATATATTGTTTAGTTAAATCGTCTTGGACTTTATTCCACGTTTTGACGCATTATAGACGAAGCAAGGCGGTTTACAAAACGTACTTTTATAACACCTTTATAAAAGTATGTTTGACACACAAGTAATAAATATTGAAAGATCTAATATGGATTCTACATTTGAGATGGATTTTTATTTATGGGATTAAGTGACGGAAGGTACACGCCAGCAAATCAAGCTACATATTGACGTATCTTGTTCCGTTGCACTGGAGGCGATTTTCGAACAAAAATGTGTAGTCTGATGTGCCGTTGTCCGTACTAGCCGTGCGCTTGGTGGTAAGCGACACGTCCGCCTGTAACAGTTGCAGTGCCACTTACGAGATTTAAATCGCAAAAACCTGAAGTGCACTACCGATGCCGTCGTCACCCTGAGACTTAAAATGACAAGTCCCATGTGTGTGTGGTTTAACCAACACCCTTACTACTTGGCGGCAGAAATAGGTGTGGTGGCAGTAATTCCCTGCACGAACTCTTTCCCGAGAAGCTCTTCTGTTACTTTTTGTTACTCTTGACTGCGAGATTCAGCCTGAGTGTGTTGGGTTGATATTGTACAAATTGAAATATTCATTGTGAGTGGTATAGTTACGTGACAAGCGCCTTGCGTATGATGCAGCTATTCGGAGGAGGTGTGGCGCGGGCGCGCATGCGCATCGCCACTGGGCTCGGCGTCCTCGCTGGAGGCTGAGGCCGCGGCCGGCGCCGGCGACCAGTGCCGCCGCAGGACGCGCAGCGCCGAGTTTCCGTCGCTCACTTACGAGGTATTACAAATTGAAACCTTTTGTTTCGGACACTGATCCATAAGGGTTAGTAATTGAACAATTAGAAATGGGGCTAGTATTACAAATAATGACTTCCGAGCTAGGTTCAATGACCAGTACTATACTGATCGAAAGCATCAATCATAATGATTGTTTTTTTCTAAATAACATAGCATCTTAAATAAAAGAAAGACGAAATATGAGTTTGTGTAACATAGCGATACATTTATAATTCAAAAGATTATAAGTTTCACACACAGATAGTAAGTACATTGCGATAAATAAAAAATTACAAACGAGCATTGAACGAGCTATTAGAAGCCCGAAGCCGAAGACTGAGGGCTTCAATGACTCGAGTCGAGAGTTTGGAATTTTTTACCGCCCGTACTACATACAACGTCTTTCATCACATTTTTTGCGAGGAAATAAATAAAATGATCATTTATTTCCTGTGTAAATAAATATCGTTTCACAACGAAACAATTACACAATTTTCAAATGGCGGGATTTTTGTGTTTTTTTTTTAATGAACATGGCCAGCTATTCTTCTATAGATAATACAACTCGAACTAAAATTTGTAAAAGGTAAAAACGCATAGAGCCATAACGGTAAAGGTATAAAATAATTACTAAGAATGCTGCAGAATTGGATTTTATAAAATTAATTTAGCAAATGTTTACTTTTTTTCTATACTTTAAGCTTATATGAAATAATTCCGATTTTTCGAGCATTAAACTTTTTATAAAATCTTGACGTATAAGAGAAGTACAGTGCAATTAAATTTAATAAAATATTTTAAACGCCGAGCGAACTCTTCAATAATTCAATAATGATTGGTACGTGCCATCCGTGCTTTGCGACTCGAGTGCACCGCGAGGTAATCGGAATGTGTGCGTGCGCACACATTTGCATGGAGTTACACTATTTGTCTTATGCTGTAACTATGCTGCCAAGGATTTTTGTTTAACGATTATTAGTTTCGATCAATCAAGCTCATCCAATAGAATGATGGCAAAAAACATTATTGAAGTAAAAAAATTACGAATATTTTCACAGCAAGTCTTCAAATCACTGCTGGGTATAGGCCTACCCTAGTTTGTTAACCACGATTTGCTCTAGTTTCATTAGTCTATGACGATGTCTCTGAATTGTTACTTATATTTTATTTTTAATAATTTCAGCCGACACAACTGGAGCAAGCGCTGAAACAAACAAACAAGAAACACGAACAGCTGATAGAGGAGCTAAAAGCGGAGCATGTGGCTTATGTCAACGATCTGCAAAGCCGACACACTGAGGCCATCACCACTCTCGAGGCAAAGGTATAGTATACTATTACGGAGGCCAGGAATTAAGGGATTGCTGGACGAGTATGAGTTACAAGGACGAGCGACAGCGAGGCCTCGTATTAATACGAGTAAAGCAATCCCCGTTCCCGCCGAGGCATCTATAGAATTTTTCTCAAACCATGCGAGGAAATAATAAAAGACTAAAGAGAGGAAGATGTACAATAGAAAAAGTAAAAAAATATTAATTAACAATAAAATTTATACAATACAATTGCGAAAAGAAAATGTTTTTGTTTTTCCGGGCACATTATAATAGTCTACTGAACTTCTGTGTTCTCGTTATCGCTCTTCTCACTGGCACTCATTTTCGCGACCAAAATACAAAAAAGACGTCAAAACAAATACATACCAAAACATTTTAAATTAAATGTTACCGCCATTTTCTTTTTTTTAAGTAAGCGGTACTGGTAAGTAATTTTAATTATCGCAGGTATGAACACTGGGCAGTTGGCTGTATGAGTTTTTCTTTTGCCTGTTGACATAGTTCATTATTAGTAGGTATATTTAAAAGTGTAGAGAAGAGGACAGTAATGGATTTTCATGCTTACTTTGCAGGCCTTGGCCGGAAGCAAGTCGTACGGTCCTTAAATGACAAACTTTCCGAGACCGTTTTTTGAACGTAATGCAAACATTCCAAGCAAATCTAATGCATAGCAAATTCGATGTCTAAACTTATATTTTATTTATTTATGCAAAGTATTATGCCCTGGAGCCGATGTACGACTTCGTATACTAGTCGTTGTTGAAACGGCGGGGCCCAGATTTGGAAGCTCGGGACTTCTTTGAATAGTTGGGCTACCGACTCAGAGATACTGGCTACAATTACAGCTCTGGATCTTGGTTGGTTCAATACGTCGCACATCAAAAACCAATCACTTTTTTTAGTAGCAGTAGAGCTCCCTGTGAATGAGTTCGTCCAGGGAAGTACTGCAACCTTACCTATTTCTGCCGCCAAGCAGTAATGTGAGCATTACTGCGTTCTGGTTTGGAAGGTTAAGGGTGCTGGTGAAATGGCAGGCACATGGGACTTGTCAACTTATGTCTCAGGGTGATGGGCGCAGTGGCAGTGCCTCTCAGATCTTTGTGATTTAAAGCTCTGAGTGGCACTGCAATTGTTATGGACCAGAGTGTGGTTTACCACCAGGCCCACAACTAGCCCTTCACTTGGTATTATATAATCTCAGTACAGAGTATTAAAAAAACCGACCTCAAAAGTACGTGGAATTACATCTATTTGCCAAGTTTTATTGAAATATCTCCTAGTTCGCCACTATACAGGACTTGGCACAGGAGATAATAAAAATCGGTTCTCACTACTCAAAGTATATTGAGAAAGAAAAACGCCTTGAATTGGAGAATAGCAAAACCAATCATTAAAATGATTGCTCTTTAAGTAAAATTTAGGCGCTATTTATAAAAATGAATGTTCATGCGTGATTAGCCACCCTCGGAGGTGAATGATTTTCTTCAAAATGAAATGGGACCACTATGGAAATACTCCCTTTCCAGCAAAAAAAGAATCATGAAAATCGGTTCACAAATACCGGAGTTATACATACATACAAAAAAAACATACAGTCGAATTGAGAACCTCCTCCTTTTTTTGAAGTCGGTTAGAAATAAATGCGAGTAGGGAACTTTTACCTTGCCTTGAAATTTAAACACATTTTCATGGACATTCCCTGTTACCTTGTCAATAATACATATATGTTTTTTAAATCGCAGATAACCGAGCTGAAGGCGCATATACAGACGACCGAGAATACCGAGCCCAACGTATCTGTTTACCAACAGGATATTGATTTGGAACTCGAGAAGGTCAGTATAATAATTTTTTGCATATTGTTGTTTACTGAGTGGTGTGATTTTTGTTACTTACCACATTCACTAGAGGGCACGTTGTAATAATTAATTAGCTTATAGTATGTATGTTTGATTCTACTATAATCTCATCAACCTCCACAGCCCGACTTTACCCACAGCTGTGTATAGCATATTAAAAAGTCGAGACTCGCAGTGGTCTCGAACATCCCGCGAAAAACGAGACTTTCGAGACTATTTTAAAAGTTGATATTATAGGCTAGGCATTTAGGCAGTAGAAACATATTTATTTAATTTTTAACTTTTTTAAATTATATTTTAACTGCCTCTGTGGCCAAACGGTTGCCACGCTGGACTGCCACGAGGAGGACCCGGGTTCGATTCCCGGGTCGGAGAAGTATTTGTATGGCCTACATTTATTTCTCTCGTGATTTTGGGTATGATTTGTGGTTGTCTATATCGACCCCTCCTACGTAAAGTATCGTATGTCGAAATTGCCAAGTTTACAGGGGAACGTTTTAAAGTTTTGAATTCACTGAAATGAGCATAACACGTGACTTTAGCATTTCTCAGTTTTATTCGGCAAAACTCGTCACTCACATAGAATGATCATCTAAGAAATTTAGGATTTTATAATACTCCGTCTAAGCACGAGCTTTGCCGAATAAAACTGAGAAATTATGGTCAAGTGTTACGCTCATTTCAGTGAATTCAGAACTTTAAAAGGCTCCCCTGTAAACTTGACAATTTCGACATACGATACGTTACGTGTGAGGGGTCGATTTGTGAATGTCTAGCGGCAACCCCTCTCGGTAACGATAAAGAAAGACTTCACGACGAAACACTGAAGAAGATTCCTTTTGAATACGTGTTGAAATCTCCAACACGCAATGAGCCCATGCGACGAACTATGGCCTAAACCTTCCTGCTCAGGAGACCAGTGTAATGACTAAGCCTCAAATTCAAATTACCCCAACCGGAATACGTGACGAGCAATGCAAAAGATAACATTATATTCCTTTACGCAAAAATTAAAAAGAGGACGGAACATACTGCACCGCTTTACAAAATACAATGATCTATTATTAGACCATTATACTAGATCAAATACACATTTCTTTGAGTGAACAACAGTAGAGCTGCGCCGCGCGTCTTATATCGGTCGATATGTGTCCATGGCACTCACGAATGAGGTCCCCTAGTGCGGGGCTACGAGTGTGTATATTATTATCAATAATAGCCTTTTGTACGTCCCACTGCTGGGTACGAGTCTCAAGGTTTAGTACAGTCACGCCGTGCTGGTCTGTTGCGGGTTGTGAACTTTCTTTGGTTTTCTTAAGGTTTCATCACGATCTTTTCCTTCACCTTTATTGGTAACGTAATTTAGGAATTACATCGTTCTCTTACTGAGTCATAAGATTTTTACGTTTTGACGCATTGTGCCGGAAATGCAAAATGCCAAACGGGCTAAATGTCAGATTCGCAAAATGCCAGATTCGCAAAATGCCAGATTCTCAAAATGCCAAATGTCACTGCCAGTAACAGGCCTTCCTCCTGACACACAGGGGCTGACGTTCTGCTTGTTTCTGGCATAATGCGTCGAAACGGATTTTTTTATGCAATCCATTCATTATCAACCCATTTATACATCCCACTGTTCGGCACGGATCACTTTTCAGACGAGTGTTTTGGCCATAGTCAGCCACCCTGGCCCAATGCGGGTTCTGGACTTCACACGTTTTCCGAGGGCTGTGAACCTTTTTCAACGTGCAACGTGCAACATGTTGTTTTCATTCACCGAAAAGCTCATGATAAATTTCAAATTAAATTTCGCGCAAAATTCCGAGAAACCCTGAGGTGCGATTCGGGATCCGAACCCACGACCCTCTGCTTGAGAGGCAGTTCATCAAACGATTAGGCTACCACAGCTTATATGCAATCGGAGATTGTTTAGCTTGTTTTGAGTACCTCGCGTGCCCTCTGGTGGCCACTTACGAATGGCAGCCTGTTGATGTTGTAAACATTGAAATTGTGCCTTCAGATTAGATAGCATTAGGAACATTCTTTTGTGTGTCTAAAAGACTATTACTTGAAGAAATTATTACAACTATTTTGTAGTTACATCGAGGTTCGCTTTTCTTTTACTCAATTTGTGCCTTCGCCATATTGAAAAGTCATTTTGAAAATTGTCATTCGGTCTTATATGAAAAAAGACAATACAATATACAAACCGAAATATGTGCTAATATTTTGTAATATAATCTATATTGCATGAATTGAGGGACGAAGCTTACGTAGCATTAAAGTATAAACTTTTTTATAACTTCTTTATTATAAAACTCTGAATCCCAGTTAATTAAACTTTTAATAATAATGATATAAAACACTGTTCAATGGTATTATTAATGAATTAACTGAATCGCACAACTATTTGTAACGTAGTTAATGGAAAAGTGTAAATATGCATTTACCTCAAAGGTCAAGCCACACTCCCCGACTACGATTCACGGTTTGATCATGCAATAATTACGATTATAATCGGATTTTTAGTTAGTGAGTTCCTAGTTTTAATATAAGAAAAATAAGGTGAAGGGTCCACTGCACTGACTCAATAGTAAATCTAGTTATTATTAATGTAATTTCATAACAGAATAATTATATTCCTTAATAGTGAAAATTGTTTAATTAAAAAAAAAGTGTACATTATGACCTCCATCTCATCTGATGAAAAGTGACGATGAGGTCAGCGATGGAGCGTGCACACTTAAATAATGCTTATTCACTCTCGCCTTGAAAAGGCCCACGTTATAGCGTTCAGGGAATAAGTCTGCAGGCAAGGAATTCTAATCCATATCCGTTTGCCATATAAATGTGGAAGCGTAACGTTTCGTGCGTATCCTTCGAATACCTGCAACATAGGAGTGGAACCCCAGCCTACGTTTAATGAAGCCGATGATGTAAAGGGGAAACTCGGAATTAAATCGTGCAATTCCATCGCACACTCCATGATATATCCTGTAGAATAACTAACTTGGACTAGGCGCACGACTTGTTCGTCCTGTCACTTGATATTATAAAAAAAAAAGTTTTTTTTTTACTGACACTGATTCAGTGATTTCATTGAGAACTGAATCAAACACATAACTATATGGGTTTGGTTATTTGAAATTTTGAAAAAAATTGAAATTATATTTCAAAGTGCCATTGGAAGCTGTCAGTTAGTTAGTAATAAAAAAATCCGACTATATACTATGTGATGCGATTAGTTGGAAATTCATTCCATACCAATTGTGTTTTTTTTTTGTATGAATTATCGTCGATGAGTGTGTATTGAAACCTTTTTATGTTGCACTGTAAAGAGACTTGTAAATGTTTTCACAAAACTTTCTGTCGAACACTTTTCACTCTTGTCGGTCGGTATGTGTATATAAATTAAAAAAAAACTTCATGTCATCAGATTCCACTGCTGTATTGTGTTCACACCAACGTACAGTAATAAGGACGACAATTGTTTAAAATTCTTTGGAAAACCGACACAAAACTAAAAAACAACCAGATTTTTACAGTAGCTTCATGACATAAAGTTTATATTCTAATCTAATTCAATTCTATCTTTCTACGCATGAATGGAATGCGACTAACCCGTGTGTCACTAACGTGGGTGGCCCATCCCTGCTTCCTGTTCTCCGTCTCCGTTTCATCACCTTCACACCGTGGATACACACTTGACTACGTCCCTCAATGGATACATCCATCACTACGTGGATAAACACATCATTTGATGCATAATACGTCACTATGTTGATGGATATCCATCATTAATGGATGTATCCGTCATTCCTTGGATACTGAATGTACACATCATTAAATGGATGTATTCATTGTTGAACCGGACGTTAAGGAGAGGCAAGCATTTGAGAAGAGATTGGAAGAAGTACGCCAGGAAGTTGTACAACAGTTGCAAGAGCAAATACAGGTATGTGAAATAAATTTTATTACAAAAATATATATTGTACAGTTGTTGACGATGAGTATATGTATATACACAGGCTTTAACGGAACTCTGGGTATGTAATTTACCAAGATGCAAATGCCTTCGACTACCCCCTGGGGTAAATATATACGTCTTCACATGGAGTATGTATTATAGAATCGGACGCCGCGAAGATATCACATACAAACATGCCTTTAGCATGGGCGTGGTAAGGCCAAGTGGACCCCACCATGCGCCAATCCAAAAAAGTCTTGTATATATTATTAATGCTTTTACGATAAACTTAATATAAGCGAATTGTACGATATAAGCTTACGGTGGCGAATTTACTTATATATTAATTATTGTAAAAAATTATAGAATAAAATTATTTTTCACAACACTTATTTACAACGCTAATCGACGTAACTTATATATTCGACGAAAACTAATTATTTATATCACAACATAGTCAAAGAATCATTTTTTCCATAGGTAACATTCACCTACCAACAAATAGACGTCGGGTTTGCGCTCAAAATTATCCGCACCTATAGGGCGTTAAAATCGTATACAGAGCGTCAATCGCGCAACAGTCTTCGTTTGTTCGACTGACAGCGCTGTTGTCAATCATGCAGTACTATATAATAATAACTCCTGTAAAGTGTAAAAACAGGACTTTGTATCATATTTTCACTAAGCGAATACATTGTGTTATCATAGTTATCATTTAAAAGGTTATTTTATGCAATTGTATGGTATTTTTAATTTATGTATAAATGAATCGAAAATATAAATCTTAAAAGTAAACAAAATAATCAAATGCTAACTGTCCTTTTTCTACACAGTGCATGCGCGCAAGAGATGGTTAGAGACTCATTACGTCAATATCGAGAAGCTTATAAGAGATGGAAAGAGACTCATTACGTCAATTTCAAGAAGCTTATATAAACTTCTTGGTCATTTTCAATTGTTCGAACCACAAGCGATTGAAATATTTAGAACAAAGAAACTATACAGTCGCTTTGATTTCATCTTATTTTTAAAATGTTTTTTTATTAAACGTTAGCAATAAGTAACAAAATATTGTTGTGCTCGTTTTACGGCTTGGGATTGCCTATCAGAAGTCAGAAAAAACATTTACCCGAAATAACGTTAGCTCGAATTTTCATAATGTCAAATGTATTTTTTTAGGAATATTACAAATCAAAAGTTAATTTTGTCTTTGTGAAAAGCATCAAAATTACTTGAAAGTGTAACGGTTTTATTATAAATCGGTTTTCGGAATTACGGATACTTGAGTTTACGTTTAGTTCGAATATCGGTACATTGCTTATAGTACACGCCAATTTTCACAGTTGTAATATTTGTGTATGTATCTGGCCAACTCTATTATTCCTTTAAGTGAATTCGTACAAAATTCGACATAATAATATATATAAAAATAATTAATATTAACAAAAAAGGCAGCTCCATTACTCTTGTGTTCAAGTAGTTTTCAGTCGAAGCTAAATATGGTGCATTTTGTTAAGTTTCCAGTAGAAGCTGAATATGGTGTTTTTGGGCTCTTAAGTTGCTGCGAGCAAAATTAGGCAGTACTGCAATGCCATTACAATATAATAAATGACATGTTTTAGTTTTTTTATATTTCGTTATATGTACCGGTTAACTTCGGACATTTTTGTATTAGACCCGCTGTCCATTTGTTGGTAGGTCAATTTGCTGGATTCTGGAGCCGTGTCGTTTTTCTATACATCTAACTAGCACGTAATCTTCAATTTTGTAATATGACTTATCAATTAAAATATTTTCAATGTAGTTTTTAAACTTAGGAAATGATAATCTTAACATATGCTCCAGAATCTTGTTGTGAAAACGTATACAGTTCCCCATAAAAGAGTCGTTAACCTTGGTTAAAAGAAATCGTTGTACCATGAGTTTGGACTTAGCTCTAAGGTTAATATTATGGATATCTTCTTTCTTATTGAAATTATGTATATATTTTTACGGGCATGCAAAATATTTGAGTAAATGTACTCCGTGGTGCCACAGTCGTGATACTACTCTCCGAGAGAAACCCGAGGACCTAAAGGGTAAATAGAACGAATCGCTCGTTTTTGCAATATAAATGTGGTTTGCATATCTGCCGCTTTACCCCACATGAGAATCCCGTAGGACATTATACTATGGAAGAACTAAAGTAAACTAGTCTAGCAGAATTAACATCGGTAAGCTCATGTATTTTGCGGAATATAGAACGTAAATTCTATACCTTGGAATAATTCGCATCTCACTTCATCTGTCTACGCATCCCACCCCGCTGACCCCGCTATATTAAAAAAATACTTATTTTAGTAATCCCCGCAATTTCGATGTAGGCAAGTCGTACTCCAACTGGGGCACTTTAGCCATAATTCACTTATTTACGACATTGCGCAAACTTCCCACTTTCGTGTAGTTTATAGGTTTTTAAATATGCATATAAAATTGTGAATGATTTATTGATTGCTGTGCCTATTTTAGGTTTAGTTTTCAGTAAATTGTTATAAGAATACAGTCTGTATTTGTTGTGGGATGTTGACTTATATTATGACCTCTTTGGCGTAAGTTTGAAATCTATTTCTAATAATATAGTATAATCTATTTCGTTTACCTCGGTGACCCAATGGTATGCACTGTGGCCTCTGAATAAGTAGATCTCGATTGACATTCCCGGTGGGGCCAATTTGTAATATGAATTTTTCTAAATTGGTTCTAGTCTGCGTGTTCTGTTCTGGTAGTGTCTCGGAGTTAATTCCGTTGCTCTGGGAGTCATAGTACAGGGAAGTTTAAGACCAGGTGATTGCTGTGGTTATTTGCTGTAACTCCGGCGTAACCATGTTCCACCATTGCGACACGATTAACGAGTCGATGCTGACAGGGATTTTCACGTGGTCGTCGCGTCTTGATAGCCCTTCGAACTAATATTGGCATGTAGCCAGAGTGTACGACTATTTTTTGGAATTCGTTTTTTATTACGGTGTTTATCTTGGAACGGTGTTTATAGATTGATATGTTTATGAAAAAACATTCATTTCTTTGACAAATTGCGAAATTGTTTCATTAGAGAGCGCTGCAGCGTGGAAGAAGATGTAACGACAAAGATAGAGAAAGATATACTTAGGTGTACGGGATATGTAGAGGTCATGAATGAAAGAAGATTGATGAAATAGATTTATGAGGTGAAAGTGAGTAAGTAAGTTTGGTAAGGACAGACCAAGGCGAACTTACCACGACCATATTAGGATGTCCTCAAGTAAGGCCAGGTCAAGAGGACTCTTAATTGAGGAGCGTGTATGAAAGCACTGATGCATGTTGATGAGGCGAAAGATATGTGCCATGCAAAGCTCTGGTCTCTGCTTGTCGCTGTAGGAAATTGGGGTGAAATGTATGTATGTATATGCAATTTATTTATTTATAATCAGGCTTACAAAGACCCATAAATACACTAACTTATACACTAATAAGTACATTTACTCAAGTACATTTGGTCAAATATTTTCAATGCCCGTAAAAATATACATAATTTCAATAAGAAGACATCCATAATATTAACCTTAGAGCTAAGTCCAAACTCATGGTACCACAATTTCGTTTAACCAAGGTAAACAACTCTTTTATGGGGAACTGTATACGTTTTTGCAATAAGATTCGCAGCATATATTAATATTATCATTTCTTAAGATTAAAAACTACATTAAAAATATTTTTATTGAAATGTCTGATTACAAAATTGAAGACTACGTGTTAGATAAAGACGTATGGAAAGACGACATGGCTCCAGATTACATACAAATTTGATTCAAGTGTATTCCATAGAATTTAAGTTTATTTGAAAAGAGCAATCCCTAGAGTTTCTTGCTCGTTCTTCTCAGGGAAGTCAGCGCAGTGAACGAGCAGTAGCTTAAATGTGACGTTTTGAAGTGTTAATTTATTTTACATATGGAATAAATCGTTCTTTGACTTTGATAATATAATAACAATATTTATTTATTTACACGTACGGACCGCGACGTGTGACGCAACGTGGGTGTACGGTAACCGTCATCGGAAACGTCTGTACATGACACCCTTCGGCCAAAAGTCTTCCTTCATGAAGGTTGACGGATGTTGAGTTGGTACTCTTACCACAATTGAATTCAAAATTCACATTGTGGCGGGACTATCAACTGCTCGACACTCAGGGTAGCATTCGCTTTCACTTGTATGTTCTCCACAATATCTACAAACAAACGAATACAAACACCGTGGTATAATGAAATCGTGACACGTATAGCAACGTCGTCGGTAGCGCTGGACGCAATAGATGATTGGGGCGGGGTAGTGCCATTAATTTTTAATTTTGAAACCGTCCTCGTCGCATTGATCTACTCGTCTCATACTGAGGACGCAGCTCCAGAGATGAGGTGATAACTGCTGATGAAACTACAGACAGAAACTGCTTTTCCGTATCGATGGCATACACTATAATGCTTGCTATCGTGATGAAAGGATTTGCCAATCGGCGTACGCGCCGATTGTTACCCAAGGTGCGCCAGATGTACTGGAAAGTGAATGACGTGCGGGGAGGCGTTTTCTGACCAGGATCCCCGATTCAGAACTCTTCGGTATTATAACCGAGCCATTCGATTGGATATCGTTCTCGAATCGAACGGCGCTTGCCAAGCTATTCAAAATATTCGAGTTAAACATTCCAATATCCAACAGCGTTTATGGAATTAGTTGGTGAAATAGATTATAAGAAAAATGAAAATCCTTTTCATTGACTTACAATTATATGGACGTCGGGTCCGCGCTAAAAAGTGTCCGAACTTATAGGGCGTTAAAATCGTATACAGAGCGTCATTCACGCTTTAGTCTTCGTTTGTTCGACTGACAGCGAAGCAAGACACAACAAAATTAGACAGTACTGCGATGACATTACAATTTAAATTCAACGTTTTAGCTTTATCATATTCCTTTAC